TCAACTGGAAACGCGATAGAGGACGCAGAAAACACACATCCATCCATATTTTTAGATCAGATCTTGACCAATACCACATCAAAAAAAAAATCAAATCAAATTCAGACAGTTGCAGAACTAATCGCAACACTTGGTCAATACCATCTTATGCGATCGAGAGGAAAATATGAAGAAATTAACCTGTTGAATCCTATGAACGCAATTTTCCAACGACGGATCTTTCATCGAGTCTTCATCTAGCCCATTCAGCACCTGACTCGCGATTCGATCTGCCCATTGCAAGCGTTCTACGATCATTTCGTTCAGATACGTTCGAGTCACATCACTTATTGGAAATTCTACCGCATCGCCGAACACATAAACCACCCTTAATTTTCATACATTCACTATTATCACTTCCACATCAATCAGTTGTGGGCATGCTACTAAAACAATTAAGCCCGCCACCACGAGAGTATTTTTGCTGCGCGGAAAGAAATCCGCTTAAATTGTTCGACCCATTACGACGAGTACGAACATTAAGATTTTGAATTCAGCAAATATGTCATTGCTAACAACATTTACCTATTGATATTATGAAGTAATCTGGGTATGATCCTTGCCAATCTCTCCAGTGTTACCCAAGGAATGGGTCGTTCACTTGTGGACAGTGCCGCCACATACGAATATGTACGACCGTCACCTGACAATAACACCAAATTAACGATCCTCATTAAAATATTATAACTACTAGTACCATTACTATCATTAAGCATAGATTATTCTCTGTAAAAAGAAATATTAACCAAATAGTTATACCTTGAACACCAACAGTTTGAATGGGAAGGAGCGTTGTGGCAATCTCAAAATCATGATCACATAATGCGTCCAATTCAACCGACGATAAGTTTTGTGATATTGCGTTATATTCGTCCGACTTAAATAACCATTATCAAATAACAAAATTTACAATCACAATCAATGAAGTGCAAAATCTATTCTCATCAACCAATAACAGTGCTTCCAATGCTTGTTCTTACCTCCTCATCACAATGTGCTAAATTAGCGATTGCGTTTAAATTCTGTTGCGTCGCATTGAATAATTCCGCATCCAAAATATACGGGCGATCGGCACAAATTATTCGTATTGCCAATCCAGGTCCTCAAATACATTCACAAATTCAAATATTAGTCATCTGCCACTATTTTTCCCACTTGCACATCACAACAATAGAACAATAATAACAAACAGACGGATGTATAATTTACCTGGAAATGGATGTCGCATAACAATCGATTTCGGTAGACCTAATGATTCACCC